TGCATGTATATTTGAATATACTCCCCCCCTAGATGTTGTAAACGCACTTGTTACACTGAACAGTTTATATTATTTGTAAAAATTGCCGAATTACTTTGTTTAATGGGCGAATTACTTTGTTTAATGGCCGAATTACTATGTTGAATGGCCTATTTAGTATTTTGAAGTTTTTCAGTTTTTTAGTTTGAAAAATGCAGAGTAACCCACAAAAGTTGGGACTATAAAGACGACTTGAAACTCTTTAAAAAATCAAGTTTTATTTTGAAAAGATATATTCTACTTTATATCAAAATATTTCCACTCAATGTAGTCTTTAAATGGCTTATTTAATGATTCGGAAGAGAAAGAAAGTATTCCTTACAGTCGTCTCTGTAGTCTTATCCGTGGTGGGTTACCCTGTACAACAAGGTATTTANAATTTTTTCAGTCCCTTTCAGCCTGAAAGGGAGTTCAAAGTGTACAAATCATGTAAATGTTCACAAATTATATGCAGTAGAGTACATTAATACAGTACAATACACTATCCATTTCAATTTCTAATTTTTTAAAGCTGTTAAATAAACTTTATAAAATGAATTAGGCGAATTAAAAACTTTATTTGATTTATAGTTATAGCGGAAAATCATCGTTTGTAAAGTGAAAGGCATAGAGTCTATGTGAAATGATCATTGGTCAATTATGAAACCAGCATATTTCATAATTCTTTTAATATCAATTTTAGATTTTCTATAAAATGATGTTCCAGGGCCCAAAAGGTTATATACAAATATGTGAGAAAGAAAGTATTCCATAAAGTCGTCTCTGTAGTCTTATCCGTTGTGGGACCCTGTACAACAAAACTAGTATTTACCCTAACCACAAAACTAGTATTTACCCTGTACAACAAGGTATTTACCCTGTACAACAAGGTATTTACTCTGTACAACAAGGTATTTAGCCTGTACAACAAGGTATTTACCCTGTACAACAAGGTATTTACCCTGTACAACAAAGCTAGTATTTACCTTGCCACATCTGCATAAGAATTGCCAGGACCGGTATCCCCCACGATACTCTCAATATCTGAAACATAAACAATTAAAGAAGAGTAAGAAACTTTTTAACGAACAAAATGAACTTATCGTCTCCTCTTTCACTACCAGAATATTGGAGATTTAACCAATAACAGATTAGTTATTCTTCAAGCGTGCTTAACTCATTTCGTCCATTCAAAAACATCCACCTCAGAAGAGGGAAGAGTCTATCATATCGAATTGTCGAAATTTATAATCTGTAATAAATATAAACCAATTTCTTTGTCGTAATGAAATTCCAATGTTTTTCGGTAAACCGGAAGTGAACAACTTACCTCCGACCACCTGGGTCTTGATGTACTTCCGGTCCGAGAGCATCAAACTCCAGAACTTGAGAAGAACATGAACATCTTCCTTCAGAGGTTGGCCTGACCTCACCTGCTTAGGATTTGGATCAATTTTGGCCTCCTGGATCCAGGGGGAAAAATATCAACAAAAGCCTGCTTCAAGGATCTGTAAGGTTAATATCAAATGATCCACCGTGCAATGCCTGATTTACAACGGTGACCTGTTTTTGGACTGTTCAGTTCATCGACTAAAGAGAGCTCTTTGATTAGATATTATAGACGATCACTTGAAATTACGCTTACAGTCCCTTTGAAAATAATCTTGTTAATCTCAAAACACAAATCTCACAAATCTGTTAACGAAAGTGAAATTATTAAAAACTTCCTAATCTCTGAATGTTTCATCAAGTATACGGTATAAAATAAGAGAAAAAATGAGAAAATTTCATTTCTCAAAAATATCAGTAAATCATCAAGAAATGTTTATGACCTAGATCCGGATCCTTTTTTTAGGACGGATACAAGATCCGGATCCAGGGTCCAGATCTGCACCAAAATAAAACGGATCCAAAGTACTTTGAACAAATTTGTTGTACACTGAATGGTTACTAAAAAAGTACAGATAAACTCGTTAAAAGAAACACATATCTGTTGGCCAAAAGAGATTGTATTGTATATATTTTAGACATTTTAGACAGTTGGCTCAAATTACCTGACATAACATTAATTTAGCTATTGCTTGCTTACATAGATAAAAAATAAACATAGATAGCTTATGTACGCAAAATCACCAAGAATTGTACAGTCAAATCTATATAATAGGAATATCTTTAAAACATCTCTGTATATTTATATCTTTCAAGATGAAAAATGTCGTCTTATGCGCAATCTATCTTTATCTATTGGTTGCATAGTGGGACAAATACAGATTCTATTAGTTAGGAATCAGAACTGGATTATGATAGATGTTATTTAGCCCTTTTTTGGGGAATTTTTAAATTAAAAAAACAAATTTTTCAAGAGGGTGGAAGGGGGGATGATTTTTAATGATATGGGAAAAAAAATTGAAAAAATTGAACAACAAGTAAGTTTCTACATTTTTTTTGATATTTTCCCCCAAAAATTCAGCTATTTCACCCTAAAAATTCAGCTATTTAACCGTAAAAATTCGGTTATTTCTCCCTAAAAATTCAGTTATTTCCCCCTAAAAATTCGTTTATTTCACCTTAAAAATTCGGTTAATTCTCCCAAAAAATCGTTAATTTCTGGGGAAAATAAATCATTTATAAATACAATTTACGCCCCTGTTTCATGAGTTATGATCAGACATACAAACAAACAAACAAACAAACAAACAAACAAAGATTACTACTTTATGTATATAGAATAAGATAAACCCTACCGGATACATTTTCTCTGTACAGAAGAAGTCCAAGGAGCATGAATATATATACAAGATAAACCCTACCGGAAACATTTTCTCTGTACAGAAGAAGTCCAAGGAGCATGAATATATATACAAGATAAACCCTACCGGATACATTTTCTCTGTACAGAAGAAGTCCAAGGAGCATGAATATATATACAAGATAAACCCTACCGGATACATTTTCTCTGTACAGAAGAAGTCCAGGGAGCATGAATATATATACAAGATAAACCCTACCGGATACATTTTCTCTGTACAGAAGAAGTCCAGGGAGCATGAATATATTCTCTGCCGAAGAACGTGCTTGGCCAGGGACTTGGGTAGTACTTCACCCTGCAGAAGAGACATTCCACAATTCAACAATCTAGAGACAGAAAATATATCAGGAAATGTGTTTGAAGTTGTTGAGTCAGGCATTCCTGGATAGCCAACAAAACTGAAAACTACAAATACATCCGCTGTACTGCAGAGAGAGAAAATAATCAATTTTGAAAAGTTTAAAAGACTGTTAAGGCTAAAATTCAGAGACTCTCCATATAAAGATGGCAATTACCGATTATGAGATGAATGAATAAATGACAGATAGGATGAATAAAAGGATGAATGAATGATTGATTGAATGAATGAATGTATAAATAAATAAATAAATAAATAAATAAATAAATAAATAAATGAATAAATGCTGATTAATCAAAAAATAAATGATTGTTTATATGAATAAATGATAATTAATCTAAAAATTACTGTTTTATGAATAATTGAACAAATAAATGAATGAAAGGAAGGAGAAATGAATGAATAAACGAATAAAAGGATGATAGAATGGAGAAAGGAATGAACAAATGATTAATTGACTGATAAAATAAATGAATAAATGAATGAATAAATGAATAAATGAATGAATAAATAAATAAATAAATGAATGAATGAATGAATGAATGAATGAATGAATGAATAAATGAATAAATTAATGTTAAGATGAACGAGTAAATGAATAAATGACAATATTAAAATAATAGATAAATAAATGAATGTATGGTTGAATATGTCCACCTGAATCTAGTTCCAGCAGCACTAACGTGTCTAGACATAGCTCCACTAGAACTCCCAACCTAAATTAAACAATAATAAATTAAAAGATTTGTGGATAAAAAGTTGAGTACGAGGTTTGATCTGTAAAAAAATGGAATTGAGATAAATAAACCTGCATACAGTAAACATTAACCAGTAAATATACTTGTACACTGTACAGAATACATGAACCTGTAAATACCTTGTACACTGTACAGAATACATAAACCTGTCCACTGTTCAGTGTACAGCGTACACAGTGTGCAGTGTACATAAACTAACCTGTATATCGAATGTCCGTTGAAGAAGGTCTGTGTACATCTCAACTTGATCTTGGGAACAGTACTTAGCTACCTCTATTCTCTCATGCAGGAACTTTATCCAGATATCATGAGGAACTAATCATTAAACATTAAAGGGACTGTCAACGTAATTTCAAGTGAACCCCAAATCGTTATTTAGACCCATTGACGCGGTCTAATTTGATGTGGGACACCCTGTACTTGGCATGTACCCTTATAAACTTGTCCGATAATGTATGAATTAGATATCCGAGTTCTTGTTTTTAAAAACTGTTTATTTTCTTTTGTGATTTTTCTGCATAAGTGACTTGGGCCTCTCTTTCTTCAGAAACAATAGAGAAATTATCAGAATTGAACACTTTCCAAGTCAGAAAAACGATGACATCTTCCACATTATTAATCAGATTTCAAGATTTTTAGGTCGTCTTTACTGTCTCAGTATTTGTGGTAAATTCTGTATCTGTACCTGTACATGGGGGGCGGGGGGCCAACTGCATTCCTTCTGTGGGGGCGAGGGGATCGCCTAGATCTTACACTGCATGTATATTTGAATATACTCCCCCCCCTCACTGCATGTATATTTGAATATACCTGGAGAAAAACTAGTTCATGTTGAGAGCAAGCAGAGAGAACCCAGTGCCAGCATTCAACAATATCAACCATTACATCAGCTCTAAATATCAACCATTAGCTCTAAATATCAACCATTAGCTCTAAATATCAACCATTAGCTCTAAATATCAACCTTTAGCTCTAAATATCAACCATTAGCTCTAAATATCAACCATTACATAAGCTCTAAATATCAACCATTACATCAGCTCTAAATAGCAACCATTACATAAATCAACAATCAGCTCTATACATCAATCATTTTTATAATATACTTGCCAAAATTCCTTTAGTTCGTGAAAAAGTCTTCAAATATTAGCTATGTTATCATGATGAACCGACAAACAAAACAATTTGGGGTCCAAAGACAAACGGGCAAAAATACGACAAAGGACAAAATCATAACGGGTCAAAAACTACGTCAAACGTACGTCAAACGTACGTCAAGCGTACGTCAAATGTACGTCAAAAAGTACGACAAACAGGTAAAACATATTTAAGATTTAAGACACAGTGAAGATTAAATCATTCATTCATTCATATATTTATTTAACTACAAAGTATGAGATATTACAGATAAGCAATCACAATTTACTATGCAGTTTGGACCCGCCTAACCAGGGTTGGTTGTTTTGAGTGGTTGGCCCGATGTTAATTAACGATACTGAATATTAGGGAAGATACCATTGCAATCAATATTGAGCCACGTACCGGGTTTATCCTGTTTTACCTGAAGAGTTTAACAGGGGCGTAGGCCAGTGTAAAGAACAGTTTTCTAGGGGGCTTTACGCCCTTGTCCCCCTGCAGTTCAAATCCATTTTGTATGTTTATTATAAATTTTGAGATATACAAAAATTCTTGCTTAATCAAAAACTTACCAAGATTTAAAACATCTAGGAAAAAAATTGTTTAATCTTAAAGAAATGGATTTTTTTAAATCAGAAAATTTTGGAAGAACATGAGTTTTCAATAAGCTTAAATGAGAAAGATTACTTTTTTTATTCATAGCAAATATTTGTTTTGATTTCCTTCAAAACATTTTAAGCCAAAAAAAATGGGGTTTGAAGTAGCTTCAACCTTTTTTTGGTAATATTGAAATGATTAAACAAAATGGCTGCCTGAAGTGCTACAATGAGTCCTGCAATTTTCCATATCGCGTCGTGGAATTTCTCTAGGAGCTTAGGAAACTTCTCCTCAGTCTCCTGCGCGGCATGAACAGCCTGCGCTGCAGAATCCACATTCCTGCGCATACAAATCTGTAGTAACTCTGCTTCTGTGCATATAAACATGTGACTAATCTGCGAAAACAAACATGTGAATAATCTGCGCAAACAAACTTGTGACTAATCTGCGTAAACAAACATGTGAATAATCTGCGCAAACAAACTTGTGACTAATCTGCGAAAACAAACATGTGAATAATCTGCGCAAACAAACATGTGACTAATTTGCGTATGTGACTAATCTGCGCAAACACATATGCGACTAATTTGCGCAAACAAACATGTGACTAATCTGCGTAAAACAAACACATTGGTTAATCTGTGCTAACACCAACAAATTCTTAATGATTTAAAACAATTCTAAAATAAATAATTATAGTGCGTTAATTAATCTTAAATAACCGAAACATGTACTGTCAATAAACAAAACATGGCGTAAACTAAGAAAAACTCAGCCTAGTAACAAAGGACATGTTGTTATATAGTTTACTTTATAAGTTTCTCCATGAGAGGTTCCCAGCCCTGTGAACCAACATCAGAATCGTCTGATAAATCCAGCATACCGGTTACCTTCATCAAATATATTTCATCTGTTTCCGTAATATATAATAATTAATTCAAATTAAAGCATAATGAATGAATGAATCAAATGAATCCAAAGAATCAACGAATCATTGGACCAATGAATCACTGAATCTAAATGAATCTCAATGAATCTCAATGAATTCAATAAATCGCAATGAATCGCAATGAATCGCAATGAATCGCAATACAACTAAATAAATCACAATGAATCTCAATAATCTTAATGAATCTCAATGGATCTCAATGGATCTCAATAAATCTCAATAGATCTCAATGAATCTCAATAGATCATAGGATCGATGGGTCAAATGGAGCTATGGCTAAATGAATCAATGAATCAATGAATAAAAAAATCAATTGATCAATTGATCAATTGATCAATGATAAATGAAAAATCTAAAAATCAAAATATGTTTGTATAAATTTATTATAAACTATAAATAGAACCTACCCTGCCACTAAATGCTTTCCTTTGTGAAAGACTGGAAAAGAAACTGCTCGTGTCATTCTTTACACAAGTTGGTCTGCAACAAATCATGTTAGAATAAACAAATCAATTTGAAAAAAATATGTTAAAATATAAGATAAGATTTGATGTTGCCAAGATTTTGAAAATCACATAAATTTTTTTTGGTATGTACTAAGATAGTAAACTTGGATGTCTGGTATGTACAAAGGAAATATACCTGGATGTCTGGTATAATGTTAGTTTACCTGGATGGCTGGTATAATTGTTAGTATACCTGGATGTCTGGTATAATGCTATCATACCTTGATGTCTGGTATAATTGTTAGTATACCTGGATGTCTGGTATAATGTTAGTATACCTGGATGTCTGGTTTAATGTTAGAATACCTGGATGTCTGGTATAATGTTAGTATGCCCGGATGTCTGGTATAATGCTAGCATACCTGGATGTCTGGTATAATGCTATCATACCTTGATGTCTGGTATAATTGTTTGTATACATGGATGTCTGGTATAATGTTAGTATACCTGGATGTCTGGTATAATGTTAGTATGCCCGGATGTCTGGTATAATGATAGCATACCTGGATGTCTGGTATGTTGAAGGTAAGCTATCAGAAAGTGAATTAAGAGATGCAAAGCTATGAACACATTCAGTAGCTAGAGACAGACCAGCGTGGGATCCTGTACCCTCATCCCCCTACAACACAGTGCAAACAGAATGTGCAGTTGAGTGACAAATAATACAAATCTAGAACTACTAATCCATAATCTCATTTTATATTTGGTAATTGGTATACAATTTACTTTTTGATGCACTGACTAAAAAAGGAAAAATTTACCATTTTGATACTTTTCACCCAAAATTCGAAGATTTTCCCATATCCTCCCCCCTCCCTCCATTATTCTTAATAAATATCCGCCCTTCTCCAATCTCCATCCCTGGGGTGCCCAAACATCTCCCTGCTGTACCTTGTTATTTATATACTCCTTGAGGTGGGAGCGCATAGTATCAGGAGCCCACTTCACGGCCTCTTCTATAATAGCCTTGCACCTAGACAACAGAATGGGAGATAGAAGAGAATAAAAACATATTAAAGGGACAGTAAAGGGAAAATGAAAGCTAATCACTTTAGCTCTTGATCGCGACCCATAAAAGTTATATCTGATGTTCCTGTCTCGAGAAACTGATATAAAACTGTGTTAAAATTATACGAAAATTCATATATGTAAAATTTTGAAAATCTGAAACTTAAATCACGTGACCAGAACTATCACCAATGGTAGAGCAGTATACTGGTCACGTGTCTCCGCCTGTATCACGTGACCACTTTACTTCACTGCCATTGGTGGAATTTCTGGTCCAGTAATACGGATTTAAAAATAATATTATGAATGAAATCTATTGAAAATAGAAATAACAAATATAAAAGTAAACCTAATTTACAATTAGCTTTCTCTGGGATATCATCGTTTTCAGATTGGTTGCTTATTTGGTGAATATGATCTGTTTAAACCTACTACTTTTATACAAAATTGTATATATATTAATTTTCGTATAGATTTGACACAGTTTTATATCAATTTCTCGAGACATGAACATCAGATATTACTTTCATGTGTCGCGATCAAGAGCTAAAGTGATTAGCTTTCAGCCTATACCCCCTTTCAGCCTTTACCCCCTTTCATTTTTCCTGTACAGTCCCATTAAGGGAATGTATGCGTAATTTCAAGTGACCCTCCATGCAAAGTTGGATTTACAACAGTACCCTTAAAAGGTTTGTCTGATCAAGGAACAGACGCAAAATCTAGAAAAACGACAATATCTTCCACATTATTGATCATTCATTGATTATTCAAGGGTACCGTTGTGAATCGGGACAGAAGGTCACTTGAAATTACACATACAGTCCCTTTAATGAGTAAAATATTAATTAAAAAGCTAAAAAAGAGAAGAAAACATAAAAAATGTTAAAAACTTTCATCAAGAAAACAAATATATTTATATTTCAATAGAGTAATTGAAAGACTGATTGTTAAAATAATAAAAAATATTGTCTGATCGATTGATAGTTAATTGGATAGATAGAGAGGTATAGAGAGAGAGTGACAGGCAGAGTGAGAGAGACTGAGATAAATAAGTAGATTAATTGATCAATTGTTAAATGACCGATAAATTGAATAAATAATTGCTTGATAACTTTATGATAAATTGATCGATTAATCGATTGTTGGTTTGGTTAATTTTTTGCTTAATTGATTGATTACCTGATAAAGTGATTGATTTATTGATTGACATTGATTGATTAGTTGTTTGTACATAAATTGATAAATTAAATAACTGATTACTTAATAGCTTGATAAACTGATTATAATCTAAACATTGTTTGCTTATTTGATTGATTGATTTGAATTGCTTGCTTGATTTATTGATTAATTTATAAATTGATTGATCATGATTGGCAACCTGTTAGCAAAGTCTTTGACCATCTGCTCCCTTTCTGCCTGGGTATCTTTCAGCATAATGGACTGCCCCGTATTGTGACCAACCTAAATATTTACAGTTAGAATGGTAGATAGATAGATAGATAGATTATACAAAGATAGATAGATAGATAATTTAGAAAGATAGATAGATAGATAAATAATATAGATAGATAGATCCTTCAGCATACTGGACTGCCCTGTGCAAATGTTTTAGAAAGCCCCTGTACTTAAAGGGAATATATCTTAAAGTGCAAATATTAAAACCGCTTTATTTAACACAATTCTAAGTTATAAAATGAAAACAAATTCATGATAAGACTTATTTTTTAAAACCGGAATTTATTCCTATAAAGTCTGAATATAAAACTTACATAAAAACTTGCTTATAGCTTTGATATGTCATTTCAAATCCTATACATGTTATAACAATTTATTAGTACAGTAAAACCAATATAAATACTTAGCAATAGTTTTAATGTCGTATTACATATTTAAGATCAAATGCCGCGGAAAAATGAGTTTAATATTAATATATCAATTGCATTCATATTTCAGGGCTATTAATTTATCTTGAATTAAAAATAAAAATATGTTTCTTTCATAGATAAAGATAGATTGCGCATAAGACGACATTTTTCATCTTGAAAGATATGAATGTACAGAGATGTTTTAAAGATATTCCTATTATATAGATTAACTAGGTCGGTTGTGAACACTGGCTNTTAGTTTTGATTTTATGGAAAAATGATTTTAGTAAATGCTGTTTAAAAACACAGTAGTATTTACGACTTGATTTGTGTTTAGTGAAAATGTTTCATCCTTATTGTATAACCGGTAGAATATATATCTAACAACTGGGATAATTATCATGTTTAACATTATTCACCTGTTTTTCTTCTAGCTAGTTACTACGCGGTATTTAGATATATTTTGGTATTTATTTTATACAAAGAAATGATGCCCGCTTTGGAAGAAGTAAACAAACATATGAATACCAGACTCGGCGTTCGGGCTCTTCTATTTCAACTTTTAATTGTTGCTTTATCTGTGAACAAAAATAAAAAATTTCGTGGATTTCAAAATATTTTTTCGTGGATTTTCAAAATTTTTTCGAGGCAATTTTTGATTTTCTGATCATTCATAAACCTTTCCAGGGGTCCTGTGACGTCTCACAAAAATATTGGACCCGATTGCTTCAGTCGTTTTGACGTGTAAAAGTTACAGACAGACAATTTGTATGAATATTCCCCTAAAAAAGGTTTTAAAGGTACCATTGTGAATCAGACATAATACTACCTTGTCCAACATAGAGTACAGAACACGTCTGGACCAGAGAATATGAGGGAATTGATCAACCATGTTAGACAGAAACTTATCTGCCAACCTAATAATTCATTTAATCAAGAAAAGATCAAATCGATCAGCCAAATTTGATTTTTCAACTTAGCAATTGATTTAATCATTTCTAGGAAGAAATAAGATCAAATCGAACAGTCAAATTTGATTTTTCAACTTAATAAAATTGATTTTATCATTTCTAGGAAAAAGACAAAGACAAAGTTGAAGATTTTTTTTTATTAAAAGAGAATTCCTTTTTTTGAATTAGTTGATAAAATATTTTGTCATTAAGACATTTAAAAAAAAAATCATATATATGAGGAGAGTTGCTTTCTACTCCAGAATTTGCAGTTTAGTACAGGGTGTCCCAATAAACATGGTAATTTAAAGAAGACTTCCAAATCGTCTTAGTAAAGAATTAGCTTTGTGTTACCTAATTTCAAAGGTCAAAATAATGTTACGTCTGCTAGAGTATATTTCATTTCTGCAAAACGTTGTATGATGTTCTGTAACATTTCTTCAAGATAAACACCGAACAGTGAAGAGAAACCAACTGTACTGTGTTTGTAAACACGAATTTCTGATATTATTAAGTACAATACAGTCTATATAATAAAACAAGACATTTATATATATATATATTCAGACCGAATGGGCTGAAATTTGTTGTGGACACTCATAGTTGGCCAGGGGGTGTTCTAGGCTAAGCATTTTTTTCACGGGCAACACCGGGCCCTCCAGTTTGTATGCAATAAAAACATAAAAACAACAAATTCTGAACCCTAGCAGACGGATTAAAGCTTTCCTATTAGGCATCACCATACAAAATCAAAAATCATCTAGAAAGACGATATCAAAATCGTTGCTGAATTCACATGTGCAGTGCTTAGGATCCATTCAATTTTGATGCGGATCCGGATCCTGGATCCGCACTGGAAAAAAATGGATCCGGATCCAGGTCATATCTTTAAGATTTACTGATTTGTTTAACAACAAATAATTTTCAAATTTTTGTTTTATTTTTTTTCGCTTATATTTATCCTTAAACTTGATGAACCATTCAGAAATGAGGAAATTTTTTATAATCTCTCTTTTTTCAAAAGTTCAGATTTGGGGTTTAGGAGTAAAAATGTTTTCTTTTGCAGTTTTTGGTTGATATATTACAAGGATCCGGATCCGTGGATCCGCATATTTTTGCGGATCCGGATCCAGGAAGCCAAAATCTTGCGTATCCAAAAGATCCGGAGCTCCAAAAGATCCGGCTCCGGATCTTAAGCACTGCCCATGTTTATTGTGAACCGAACATGCCAATCTATTAAACTATATACCTCTGGATTGCTTTGTTCGGATTGTTGAAATGAATGAGAAGGATTTCTGCATGATTTTCCAAATCTAGTTCGCGAGCTGCAGATTTAGGTTGACCCGCCATAACAGCCAGAAATTCCTGGATACGGGTCAACTTGTAGATCACGATAAAAGACATAAGTAGAACCCCCCCCACCACCACCCAAAGTATATTCACTCGTTGAATATAAATTATCTTGAAAATAAAATCTATCCTAGACTAACTCAACAAAAGATTTAGATAAAGCTCTAAAAGAAACATTTTAAGAACAAAAATACAAACTTGAAAAATTTAAACAATAAAATTTTACTAAATCTTTGTTAATGACAAGTTTTTCCTTGAAAAGTTTCTCCACAATTGAACAGATACAGTCATACACACCCGTCTTATCCTAGATAGAGAGAAATATGTAATATCGCGTGAGGCAAAGACGACTTTTAAACATCGTCCTAATATGGCGACTTTACCTTCTGAATTGCTTTATCCTCCAGGTAGTCGAAGAGAATATGGAATGTCGCCTTCTTGCTGCTGTGAATCCTGATAGAGTCGTCTCATCAAATTAGGTTACTTTCTATAAAGTGCCAAATTTACCACAAAAAAATGACAGAGAAGATGAGACTTTCCTGAGATACTCGAGCCAGAACACTGATTTGAGGTATACCAGTATAGGAAACTGATATTGCTTCAGTAGAGTTACAATATTAGGCGGAGGCTCCAGTTGGGTCAACAGCTGATTCTTCAGCTCATGAAGCTCATTCAAGCTCACTCCGTCCTTAAAATAATATATATTCAAGCTCACTCCGTCCTAATAATAATATACATAAGCTCACTTCGTCCTTAAAATAATAAATTTAAGCTCACTCCGTCCTTAAAATAATATATTTAAACTCACTCCGTCCTAATAATAATATATATAAGCTCACTCCCTCCTAATAATAATATATACATATAAGCTCACTCCGTCCTCATAATAATACATTAAACTCACTCCGTCCTAATAATAATATATATAAGCTCACTCCGTCCTAATAATAATATATTAAAACTCACTCCGTCCTAATAATAATATATATAAGCTCACTCCGTCCTAATATTAATATATTTAAACTCATTCCGTCCTAATAATAATATATATATAAACTCACTCCGTCCTAATAATAATATATATAAACTCACTCCGTCCTAATAATAATATATATAAGCTCACTCCCTCCTAATAATAATATATACATATAAGCTCACTCCGTCCCCATAATGATACATTAAACTCACTCCGTCCTAAAATAATAACATATACAAACTTTTTATCCTCAAGAACTGTTTATACCTGAGCTATTGCAGATGTGAATGATATTAGTCTGAGATCAGATCTCTGAGCTGAGTTGAATGTAAGTTTCGGAGATTTAATCGAGATCTCTTTCACCCCATCATACCAGTCCTAGAGATTAGAGATTATACCAATCCTAGTGATTAGAGATTAGGACAGTTACTTGCTTTAAAATTATCAGATGGATAAATAGAAAGACATAGATTTAGATAATTTTAAACCGAATTGCAGGCGATTATTTCTGGTATATATTGAATTGCAAGCGATTATTTCTGATGTATATTGAATTGCACGCGATTATTTCTGGTAAATATTGAATTGCACGCGACTATTTCTGGTAAATATTGAATTGCACGCGATTATTTCTGGTAAACATTGAATTGCACGCGATTATTTCTGGTAAATATTGAATTGCACGCGATTATTTCTGGTAAATATTGAATTGCACGCGATTATTTCTGGTAAAAACTGAATTTCTCCTTTCCTTAACCTTTACAGAAAAGATCAAAATCAACAGGTATGAACAAAATATACTTTTTAGGAGGAAATATGCCCTTAAAAGTAAAGACATTTTGCCGGAAAATTCATATGGATGCGGCTAGGAAGATATATGGGTAAGCTCAGGGCCGCGACTCTGTGTTTGTGAGTCAACTTGTTCGCTCTGCAAATTTTCTTTAAAGGGACAGACCGGCTATGTAAGGTAGTTAAACTTGAGTATGCAGTGTTGTGGACAAATTCTTTAGGATTCATTTGAGACATACAAAACGTTTCCACGATGTATAATTACTGAGTTTGAGTGCATAGTCGACGTTCAAAATTATGAATTTGGGTGGATACGTTTTCAGAATCGGTTTTTTAAAATTATTGAATAATGACGACGAAAAATATAGTAAAAATTCTATAGTACTGTGGCGCCCCTGGATTCCTGGAATGCAGTAACAGCATATTCCATACTTCACATGTTATTGTTTAGATTATGATATACTGCATCTAGTATAAGTACTGTTTTTGATAAATATATATTCAGTCAGTTTATTTGGTCTTATTCATTTGGTCTTATTCCTTTCGTCGCTACATTTTGGTGACCCCGACGTGATTCTTTTGTCGGAATTAAATCCTCTCGTTGAAGCGCCCGAAATTGGTTTCTACCGAGTCCCTGCTCTTTTCATACTATGTGGCGCCCCTGGATTCCTGGAATGCAGTACACAGCATATTCCATACTTCACATGTTATTGTTTAGATTATGATATACTGCATCTAGTATAAATACTGTTTTTGATAAATATATATTCAGTCAGTTTATTTGGTCTTATTCATTTGGTCTTATTCCTTTCATCGCTACATGCATTAATTAGATGTTGAGGAACATATTTCTCAAAAGAATTTTGTCAATAAATCGAAGTTAGAATTAATTATTTCCTTTTTCATCATTATATAGAATTTCTTTTTTCTATGAATTTGTTCGCCGATTTCTTCAAATTCTTCAAATGTCGTCTTTTTATTAAAAATTCCAGAAAATCTGCAGAAAATATTTGTGATTAAAGAAAGAGTATAGAAACTAACTATTGAATAAGATAAGAGTTAATCTTTATTTTCTCAACCTGTTCCTAAGCAACTAATTAGTTTACTGTAGAATTTTGTTTACTTTTTTTTGTTGTCGTTATTTAATAATTAAAAAAAAAAAAATTCTGAAAACGTATCCAGCCAAAAGTACGTATTTGAACGTCAACTTTGAACTCCAACTCAGGATTTACAGATCTTTAAAAAGTCTTATATGTCTCAAATAAATCCTAAAGAATTTATCCACAACACTGCATACTCAGTTTAAATACCATACAAAGTCGGTCTGTCCTTTTACTTGGGAAATGTTGAATCTAAGAAAAAATGTAAGTTTAAACGGTTTTTTAATTTCGCCAAATGTAATAGAGAAAAATCTTTTCGAGAACAAAATTTAAACCTAAACAACATTACTAAATACAGCACTAAATAGATTACTCATTGCCCAGCACATGACCGTCCCTGCAAAGTGTCAATGCCCGATTCACAACAGTACCCTTAAAAGCTTTATCTTATCCTAGTAAGAATTTGATAGCTTTGAATTTTGAAAACTGATTTATTAAAAATGACTTAAACATTTCTACTAATTGATGAAAACAATAATAATCCAAATTAAACATTTTTAAACCTAGAGAACGATATGTTTTTTTTAATTATTAATCATATAAAGATACTGCTGTGAATCGGGCATTGTCACCTTAGAAAGGAGTTCCTTGAAATTACGCGCAGTCCCTTTAAATTGTCTAAATAAGACTAAACTAACCTGTGGCCAGACCCCAGACTCTTCACTAGTAAACCCCATAACAACACAATACTGCCAGAAATCAGAGAACAGTTTCTTCAATCTTAACAATATATAACAATAAGAGAACAGTTTCTTTAATCTTAACAATATATAACAATATAAGAGAACAGTTTCTTTAATCTTAACAATATATAACAATATAAGAGAACAGTTTCTTTAATCTTAACAATATATAACAATATAAGAGAACAGTTTCTTTAATCTTAACAATATATAACAATATAAGAGAACAGTTTCTTTAATCTTAACAATATATAACAATATAAGAGAACAGTTTCTTTAATCTTAACAAT